AAGGGTAAACAAAGGAGGAGGCTGCAATGCTTGATAAGAAATGTACTCATTATCCTGCCCATGTAATTGCAACCCTTCTGTACAGTATGTTCACAAAAAAGTAAAATTTAAATTAAAAAAAAAGAATTTGGTCCTGTGTGCAGGCAGTGATCAGAAGCAGGACATTTGGGCCCCATCACTGGGACTCTAGTTTCCTTCATGGATTATTGTACTGATGGGTTTTGATCTGAGTGAACTAGTAAAGGATGGAGAAAACTGAGGCTGATGACAATTGGGAACCTAGTTGGAGGCAGTTGCTCTGGGACATGTCCCAAATCATGTGCATGCTTGTGCTTATTCTCTCTCTGTGTCTCTCTCTCTCCCTCTCTCTGTCTTCTGTACATGTATTTGTCTAGTACTCCTTACCTTCCTTTTCCTTCCTTGTGTCCATCCTTCCTTCCTTCCTTCTATCCTTCATTCGTTCCTTCTTTCCATTCTTTCTTTCCTCTTTTCTTTCCTTCATTTCTTTCTTTCTTGCTTGCTTGCTGTCTATGTTCTTTCTCTCTCCCTCCTTTTGCTCCCTCCATCTCTGCTGCCAGGCTGCTATGGAGCAATCAACTCTGCTATGCTATGCTCTCCCCATGATGATGCCCAACTTGTCTAGTGGAAACAACACAGCCAAGTGAACCTTGACTAAAATGCCTAAAATTGTGACTCAAATAAATAAACATTTTTTCCTTGGGCTTACTGTCATAGTGATGAGAAACTCACTAATACAAAACAATAAATCCTAAAGGCTAGTGATAACTCTGTTGTATATCTTCCATCCAGAAAATCCCAGTCTACCACCAGCATCTTCCTGACACTGTTGAAGACCATTTTGATTCAATGCTAATTTGATAAGCACTGTCATCCAGAACAAGTAATCACACCACCAGGGTACACACATGTTTAACCAAGGACATCTGTATCCTGCAGCCTCCAAGCTCTGGTCTGATAGGGGCTGAGAAGGAACGAGTTGGCACACACTGCTGTTGAGACTGGAGACTTCAAAGGGGCAAGCAGATGTCCTCTGTCTCCCCTCACATTTTCTGTGCAGAGAGGAGGCAGCCGCGCAGCACCGTGGAGAAACTGCTGGCACACCAGTACACAGCTGTGTGGGAGGGGGTGGCTGAGTCCACAGTGAGGGAGAACTCCTCCGTGCGTGGTCTGGACACGCTGTAC